CACTCACCTGAAATTTATATTGCGTATTAGTCATTTAATTTTACTTTGAAGAAGTAAGTTCTTCTTTTTTTTGAGTAAATTCTTTCTACTCAGAGTGAATCAATGACTATGATGCAGAGAGACATGAACGATGACATAAGTAGAAGCTTGCACGCATGGTGTTTAAGCCTAAAACTCATAGTTCATGGATTTGCAAAATCAAGCTGAAGGTTGAAAACAAAGTGCAGTTCGCGCACTTTGGTTCCAAAGTTTGAATCTCAGCCAATCACAGTCTGACACACACTTTTTTTAATCTCATAGTCATTGGCGCCTTTTTCTTTTTCTTTTTTTTTTTTCATTTTTCTTCTTCATTTTATTTTCTAATTTTATTTTAATTGATTCTTAATTCTTTTTTCCTCTAATTTTTTTTCATAAATCCATAAAAATATTTTCTATCACATATATTTTTTTTGCATAATTTTATAAAATCATTTTGCATTTAATTGTTTTTTCTTCTTTTTCTTTTCATTTAGTTTCCACTTTGCATTTTATTTTCAATCATTTTAAAATATTTTTTTATCCAACTTTTGAGATCTTATTACTTGTAATATTGCTTACTTTCTCAATTTTCTTGGTCATTTATTTGATATTTTGATGCATCTTTTGAATTTTCCATTTAATTTCTATTTTAAATCATTTTAAAATCATTTTTAAATCACTTTATTTGATTTTTATTTTTATTTTTATTTTTATTTTTATTTTTTAATATTTTGATTTGGCTCTTGATGATTGCTTGATTGATAATGTCATCAACATTTTAAATCCTTGATTGGTGATCCCTAGGTTGATTCAAACTTCTTTGGTTCAAGCATGCTTATGAGTGATCATCTGATAATTGTTGGCACTTTGCATCAGAGATATGTTATCTCTAATGAGATCATGCTTTGAATCTTTGGTTTATTGATATATGATCCCTACATGATGGCCTTAGATATTTTCTCTTCCATCCTTTTCTTCTTTTGGCTTTTGTTTTTAATCTTGTGTTACGTTGCTTTATGAGAACGATTTTGTATGATTTCTCTAACATGTTTGACACATAAATTGTTATTGACTGACCTCAGATAAGTGTAACTTCTACATAAGTCCATTTAAGGTTGCTTAATATAACGTGTCAACTCGGTTTGAATTCTCATTAACACTAACGTTGACATATTAATTGTACTGACATCTAACTTTTACTTTGATGCTCTTTACATTTATAACATTTACTTTCATGTCTTTACTTTTATAACATTTACATTCTTTGTATTTTGCTTTATACTTTATTGCTTTCTTATTTCAAAAGAAAAAAAACACTTAAAAATGGCTAAAACCCTCAAAAAACTCTAATTTGATCTTATGAACTTTGTGTACTATCCCTTACTTGAGGAGTATTTTGGACCTTGGATATTAGGACTTAGTGTTTCTTTTTTCTTGGAGTGGCATACGAGACTTTGTGATTCATCTGAGACATAGTGATTCCTCTGATTTTCAACTCAAGACTTGGATGTTCTTTGTGGCTTTGTGACTTTGATAGTCATTTGTGCCTGTACTTGTTCATTTTGTGGCTAAATCCAAAGGAAAACGAATGTTTGTTTTGACTAATGTCAAATGCTTGCTCCATCTTGTGGTTAGTACATTTGCATACACAAATACTTTCACTTGGGCTACCTTACAACGAAACCTTTTACTTTATACTTTATGATAGTCTCTTCATCTCCTTCCCACTTCTTCAATTTTGAAAACTCATCCCTATTTTAAAAACTTCTTATTTTCAAATTTCTCACCTATTTCTTAATAAATTTTGACTTTGTCAAGTGACCCAGAAAATATATTTCTTATTAAGTGCTAAAATATTTAAGCATATTCAAACTCTTTTCAAAACTCTAAAAAAGATAAGCCTCATCAGACTTCTTTTTGTGCCTTTGTGCACTTTTCTTTAAAAGTCTTTTTTTTTCAAAAGATTATATATTATTATATTCTTGTAGTGATGCAAACCACTATATTTCTATGATATGTTGAGAAATGATTAGCATTTTCCACTTGAACGTTGAGATGTTCTTGTGAGAAAGTCAAAGTAAAAGTTCTCCATATGAAAATGATGTAAATGCTCATTTCCTCATACTTATGGGTAGTAAGTTGAATTTTCCACTCAAATACGACAAAATATCTTTTCAATTAAAATCAATCAACAAACAACCAAGCTCTTTTATAAACACAAATTTGCAAGTGGTTCATATGGAATACCATAGATGTAAGGGGTGCTAATATCTTCCTCTTACATAACAAATCTCTGTATCTAAATCTTATTTTTTTCTTTTTGTGGGTTTTGTTCGACTTTTTTTCTTTTTCTTTTAAAAACAATAAAATTTGGTGGCGACTCTTACTTTTTTAGTTAAGTTGATCAATAACTTAATCTCAATTTTTTTCCGCCGCTACATTAGTGTAAATGTCAGCAATAAAAGTAATTATAAAACGTGCCATTGAACACCCATTTTATATTACATAATGAAAAATAAAATACAATATTAAGATGAAAATGGAGGAATGGTGATGATAAAAAAACTGTAACTAATTAAAAACAATTAGGAATCTGGAAACCAATTAGAAACATGAGCATATAATTTAATAATAACATGTAAAATAATTAGGAACATGAGAATGTAAGAAAATGTGGCTTGTCGCTTTGAAAATATATTAATCGATGATTTTAGAATGTTGGGAAACCTTTTAATTAGTTTACCAATTAATTGGTAGGTTTTAATGTTGTGTCAATGGTAAATTTTTTTTTAAATAATGTGCGCATATTTATAGTGACAACAAAAATCATAGGTATCATAAGTGTATTTTGAAAAACGTATATCTATAGCACTTTATCGTATGTACAATTATGTCACACAAAAAAAATTTTATCTATGAAAAAATACTGCAGGTATAAGCAGGGTCGACTCACGCCTAAGAGCATCTTTAATGGGAGCAACTAAATTGGATGAACTAAGTTATTTTACGTGGGTCCAAGTTGACACGAAGGATTTAAGTAATTCAAAATTGAATTAACAAGTTTTTACTTCAATAGTGATTGTTTATAAGGAATTCAAACTTGATATTAAATGGTTAATAAAAATATATTATTTATGTTAAATAATTAATAAAAATCTATTATTTATGTTAAATAATGAGTTAGATTACGTTGCTTGTGTAGAGCACGTAAATTAGTTTTAAAGCATCTCATATGTCATGTCAGCTCTACTATAATGCAAATTCCTTATTACTAACGTAAGATATACAAAATTTTGGTTTAACAACTATGCGTTAAAGTTGCTCTAAGGCCAATAAAATAAGGACTTTAGGCCTCATCTTTTTGGACCTTAAAATAAGTCCCAAATATTAAAAAAATAAACCTCAAATTAAAATACATATAATTAATATATTTTTAAAAATAAATTACAACAAATGAAATGTGTCAAACAACAAAATCTTTATTCCTCTATGATATAGTACTTGTGTTCAATTCTTACTATCTTAATTTTATTATTTTAAAGTTAAAAAATATTTGCAGTTCAATAATCACGATTTTAAATTTTTAGTTATCTACGATATAAAAAAGTTACAAAAATTATTAATTTAAAATTTTTATTTAATTTTTAATTAAATAATAACTTTTAAAATATCTTAATTTTACCATTTTGAAAATATTTTTCAGTTTAATAATCAATAGCGTTGGTTTTAAATTATCTATGCACATCAAAACTAATATTAATTATAAAAAAAATAAAAAATATTTATTTAAAATATTTATTTTCAATTAAATATTATTTATAAGAATATTTTAAATTTTCAAGATAAATAAAAGTTTATCCATGTTTTTTATGCGTCATTCCAATTGCCATCTACCTCTATACAATTTTATAGTGCATGCGTCAATTTAAATAATTACTCTAATTTTTTTTTAAAAGTGGTTAATTATTAATTTATTTGAAAATAGTTATTTTAGTATATAAATTAAAAAAATTAGTTATTTTTAAAAGAAATTCTCAATCGTGAGAGGAAAGTTAAAACGGATCTTTTATTTGAGAAATTAATTAGTTTAATTGATAAAATTTTGAAATTATAGGTAGAAATTATTTATTTTTATGGTTTTAATAAATTATTAATAAATTAGTTATTATTATATTGGTGGAAATTATGCCGGAAAATTTTAGTAGGAAAAAAGATAGGGTTATAATTTAATATGATATGATTTGGTATAATGATATATTTAGCGAAAGAAACCACGTGAAAAACAAATTAGTTTTATGATTTTTTAAACGGTGAAGAATCGAAACCAATTTATTTAAAAAAACAAATGTAGAATTTGGTAGAGTACTGAGCTCCGTTGGCGTTTGTTTGATTCATAATGTCCAATACGTCACGGTTGATTCACGAGAATGTAAGGACGTATTAGTCTTTTCAAAACTAGTTAGTTGGTTCGTTCAACTTCAATGAAGACATAGCCGTTTTACATAGGTTTTGAAAATGTGAGATTATGATTAATCATCACAACGATTATATCTCAACTAATCTTTAATTAATCTTAAAACTCTGCATTTCATTTTCTTCCTCTGTTTCGCATTCTAACCGAAAAACCTTTAACACGCTTCGCTCTCTCTTCACCGGAAAATAACATAATCGAAGGCAATATTGTGGTTACGCATCGGAAAACTCAGTTTCAGCACCATCGCTATCGTTTTCAGATCTGAATCGCGAATCTCGAGTTCCTGAAATTCTGTCTTCACTTTCTCCCGATTCGGTTTCTTCTCACTTTCATGTTCTTCTCGTGAGTTTCGCTGTTTTATTTTTTTACTTTTTCAATTTTCATAGATTTTATTTTTGCGAATTAATTTTGTTTCTAATTGTGATGATTCTGTATTAAGAAACGCGTGTGTAACAGATCTTGAAAATTGGCGCCTCAACGACGTTCCCAGCGCCACGTGGCTGGCCAGATGCCGCCACAGGGTAATGCCGCTGCAGCCGCTGCTCTTTATGATCAAGCTGCCGGCGGCTCTGTGCCAAGTTCATCCACTGATGCTGGAGACGCCGTTATGGCGCGGTGGCTTCAGTCAGCTGGCTTGCAGCATCTTGGCTCTCCATTTGCCTCATCTGGCATCGATCATCGCCTCCTCCCCAACCTTCTAATGCAGGTACCCTTGCTTCTCTTCCAAATATAGAAACCAACCTCTTAGGTATTGTATTTTCTGCTATGACTTTGTAATGTTATTGTTTAGCCTTTGAGTGATTTAAAATTTGTTGCACTTGGTTATGAGATTATATGTGTATATGCTTTGTTAAATTGGAGTTTGGCTATCATATAATTTGAGGGACAAATTTGAGTGTAGTGGGGTCAAATTTGTCAATAGTTGAGTACATTTTCTTTTTAATAGTGTATGAGTTGATTTTATAGTTTCGATGAATATTTTATATGATGTTTGGGATAGGGTTATGGAGCACAGTCTACTGAAGAGAAGCAGAGGCTTTTGAAGTTAATGAGAAACCTCAATTTTAATGGTGAATCTGGTTCAGAGCTGTCTACGCCCAACACTCAAACTTTGGGTGGAGTGGTAGCACCAGATGGGTTTTATTCACCTGAGTTCAGAGGGGATTTTGGAGCTGGGCTTTTGGATCTTCATGCCATGGATGACACAGGGCTTTTGTCTGAGGTATGAATATGATTCAGTTTTATTATAATGTAGGGTTAGTATTAAATTTAGAAGAAATAATATTCTTATGAGGTCACAAGACCTATATATATACATGAGCCTGCAGTCTATTTTAGGAAATATGGACAACTAGTTCTAAGGAAACAAATCCTTGTGATTATGGGATTGATCCTAAATAAATAAACCTAATAATTAGCAAGATACAACTGTTACATTACAGAATTACTACAAATATAATCCTTCTTAAAATACACAAAACCAATCACTGTTTTGACACTCCCCCTCAAGCTGGTGAATAGGTGTTTTCCATTCCCAGCTTGGATATAATTCTTTCAAAGTTAATGCAGTTCAGCCCCTTGGTGAGTATGTCTGCAAGTTGATTCTGAGTGGATACATATGGTGTGCAAATCATGCCACTGTCTAGTTTTTCCTTGATAAAGTGTTTGTCAACCTCGATATGTTTAGTTCTATCATACTGCACCGGGTTGTGGGCTATACTAATTGCAGACTTGTTGTCACAATATAACCTCATAGGTTCATCCCATCTTATCTTCAAGTCTTCCAATATAATCTTCAGCCATAGAAGTTCACATATTCCTTGGGCCATTGCCCGAAATTCTGCTTCGGCGCTCGATCTAGCCACTACACTCTGTTTTTTGCTCTTCCAAGTCACGAGGTTTCCACCAAGGAAGGTGCAGTATCCAGTAATTGACCTCCTATCTACCACTGACCCCGCATAGTCCACATCCGTATATGCTCCAAGACTTATACTCTTGTTTCGTTTGAACAAAATCCCTCTTCCTGGGGTCCCTTTCAAATACTGGACAATTCTAAGAGCAGCTTGTAAATGTGCTTCTTTTGGTTAGTGCATAAACTGGCTGACTAGACTTACAGCAAAAGAATGTCTGGTCTAGTGTGAGATAAGTAAATTAGTCTGCGCACAAGCCTTTGATACATTTCCTTGTCCACGACAATATCCTCCTCCGCACTTCCCAACTTTATATTTGGGTCAGCAGATTTGGGTCAACAGGGGTACTTGCTGATCTGCAGGCTGTCTTACCTGTTTCTTTAAGCAAGTCAGTAATATACTTTTGTTGAGATATGAAGATTCCTTCTTGCTGGTCTGCAGGTTGTCTTACCTGTTTCTTTAAGCAAGTCAGTAATATACTTTTGTTGAGATATGAAGATTCCTTTCTTGGAATGGGCCACTTCAATTCCCAAAAAATATTTAAGTCTCCCTAATGTTTTGATCTCGAATTCAGTGGCAAGGCATTCACTTAACACTTGCTGCTCCTTTTTGTCATCCCCACTTACTATAGTATCATCTACATACACCAATAAAATTGTTAACCCCCCTGAAACTGAATGCTTGATAAATAATGTGTGATCCCCTTGGCTCTGTTTGTAGCCCAGACCTGTCATAACTTTGGTGAATCTTCCAAACCATGCTCTTGGGGATTGCTTCACCCCATATAAAGCCTTTCTTAACTTACAAACAGTTCCAGCAACAACCTGTCCATTGTAACCAGGTGGCAACTCCATGTATATTTCTTCTTCAAGGTCTCCATGTAAAAAAGCATTCTTCACATCAAATTGCTGCAGGTCCCAATCATGATTTGCTGCAAATGACAATATTACTCTGACCGTGTTCATCTTAGCAACCGGGGAAAAGGTCTCCAAGTAATCAATTCCATAGGTTTGAGTGAAGCCTTTGGCCACTAATCTTGCCTTATAACGTTCAGTGGTCCCATCAGCCCTGTACTTTACTGTATATACCCACTTACATCCTACTGGTTTTTTTCCAATTGGTAGGGTGACAAGTTCCTAGGTCCTATTCTTGCTTAACGCCTCCATTTCCACATCCATGGCTTGTTTCCATTTCCTATCAGATAATGCTTCAGATACACAGGAAGGTGTGTGTGTGGAGTTGAGGTTTGTGAGGAAGGTTTTATGGGTAGGTGAGAATTTTTCAAAGGATAAGAAATTTGGCAGTGGGTAAAGTGGTTGTTGGGTGCATGTTCTAGTTCCCTTTCTAAGAGCAATGGGTAGGTCTAAATTTGGTTCACCTGTGCTTCTAAATTTTCAGAAACAAACTCATTAGAGTTTATAGGATTCGAAAGTGTTACCTCATGCAGTGATGATGGGCTGGAGTCTTGGACATTGCTAGACTCTAGAATGGCCTTTTCTCTCCTTGAATATACCAGATTTTTCCCAAATCTTCCACCATTAAGTGCCGGTTCAGGTGCAAGACCTGTTGGTTCAGGTTCAGGTGTAGGTGTAGGTCCTACCGTTGTTTCAAGTGTAGGTCCTGCTGTTGTTTCAAGTACAGGTTCTGCTCTTCTCTCAGTTTCAGGGACAACAATGCCATTTGTCCCAATTTCAAGTCCAAATGTCATATTTGGAGGCATGAGAGTCTCATCTTCCTCTCTTGCATTCTCCCCCTGAAGATGAGGCTGCTTGAAGTAACTCTCTTGTTCGTTGAAGGTCACATCTCTCGACATATAGAATTTTTTTGATAGAGGGTGAAAACATTTGTATCCCTTTTGTGTGGTAGAGTACCCTAAGAATACACATTTGCCAGCCCTAGGGTCTAATTTTCTCCTTTCATTACTATGAACATGCACAAAGGATACACACCCAAATATTCTAGGTTGGAGTTTATTTGTAGGATCCAAGTGTGGGTAGAATGAGGATAGGACTTCCATGGGGCTTTTAGTGTCTAAGGTTATAGTGGGTAACCTATTGATTAAATAGGTGGCAGTAAGAAGGGCTTCCCCCCAAAATCTCTTAGGGACACGGCTTTGAAAAAGTAGAGCTCTAGTTTGATTTAATAGGTGCCCATTTTTCCTTTCTGCAATCCCATTATGTTCGGGTGTGTTCACACATGAGGACTCATGGATTATCCCTTCTTTTTGGCAAAAAGAGTTTAGTACAAGGTTAAAATAGTCCTTGGCATTATTAGACTTAATTCTTTTGATACTAACCCCAAATTGATTTTTAATCATTGAGACAAATTGAAAAAACACAGCTAACTTCAGATTTTTGTATTAATAGAAAAATCCAAGTCACCCGGGTACAATCATCTATGAAGGTTAAAAGCCATTTAGCACCTGAGATATTAGGAACGTAAGCAGGACCCCATACATTAGTGTGAACAAGAAAAAAAGGGAATGACTCATCTTATTGCTAATGGGAAAATGGGAAAAGGTACACGCTTGTGTTTAGCAAGCTCACACACATCACAATGGAGACTTTCCACATTTAAATTTTTAAACAAGAAAGGGAAAAACACTTTTACAACTCGAAATGAAGGGTGTCCTAGCCGGCAATGGTATAGTTGCACTTTCTCTTTGTTGGTCATGATGGATTCAGATATGAGAGAGCAGCTCCTGGTAGGCAGATTAGGATCCTCCATGTAGTATAGGCCATTTCACTCTCTAGCATGTCCAATCATCCTCCCCGAGTTCTTGTCCTGCAGTATACAAGAGTTGTTATGAAAAACAGCATTACATGAGAGATCTTTTGTGAGTTTTTGTATAGAAATCAGATTGGTGGACAATTTAGGGACATGAAGGACATTTTTTAATGTTATGAATGGGTTTATTTGGACATCTCCTTGTCCTGCTGCAGTCATAAGGGTTCCATCTGCTGTGGAAATTTTCTTGTTGCTAGGACATAGGGAATATGTGGAGAAATATTTGGGTAGAGGGGTCATATGGTCAGTGGCTCCAGAGTCTAATATCCAGTAATGTGTAAATGGTGTATCTGAAACATTAAGCCCAAAAGAAAGTGGAAACTTACGATCTTACCCGTTCTATCTCTTCATGATTCAGCTGGCCAGATCCTTCACTTTGTCCATGACTGATGTGTGCTTGCCCTTGTCCTCCCTTTTTTGGAGAGCCTCCTTTCGGCCCCCATTCTCGGCTTGGGGGTTTCCCATGTAATTTCCAGCACTTCTCCCTTGTGTGACGCGGCTTGTTACAGTGGGTACACCAGATATCCTCATGTTTTTTCTCCATATTGGGAACCCCGCTTCTCCGTTGGTTAGCAACCATGATTGTTCCTCCTTCAGTTATCATTGCAGAACTTTCAGTTATTGAGGTCTCCAACATCAGTCCTCTCCTGCTTTCTTCACTCCGGATAATGGCTACCACTTCATTAAGCCCCGGGACTTTCTCTTTTCCCAGGATTTGGATTCGGACCTGGTCATATTCAGGATTTAAACCTACCAAAAAATCATAGACTCTATCTTGTTCAATATACTCCTTAAGGATTGCCGAGTCTTCCGAACATTTTGCTTTTATAACTCGATAGTGGTCCAATTCCATCCATAGAGACTTGAGTTGATTAGCATATTCTGTAACAGATCTGTTTCCCTGTTTGGCAGCCACGGTTTTCACCTTTACATCATAAATTTGAGCAGCATCCTTGGCCTTAGAATAAGTTTGTTCTATTGCCTCCCAAATTTCCTTTGCTGATTTAAGGAACATGCAGGTATCACTAATTTCTGGGACCATTGAATTCCACAGCCACGCCATGATCATGAAGTCTTTTTCATCCCATGATTTGAACTTGGGATCTGTATCAGCAGGTGGACTATCAGTCAGGTGACTGACCTCTCCTTTTCCTTTCAAGATGGTCTTAATGAGTTGAGACCATTTGAGATAATTCTTCCCATTTAACCGATAAGCAGAATGAACATTCTGCAACTCTCCAGCAGTTTGGGGTCTGCCCTCAGTTTCCAGAATAGGATCCACGATCTCAGCCATGACCAGCTGCGATCAAGGTAGAAAGGGCTGCGCCGCAATGAAAGCTGCGACAAGGTTTAAAGGTAACGCAGCAATGAAGGCTGCAACTTAGGGTTTATAGGCACGGTTAGAGACTCCCAAGGATCGGGAGCTTTGATACCATATTAAATTTAGAAGAAGTAATATTCTTATTATATTTTTTATGAGGTCACAGGACCTATATATATACATGAGCCTGCAGTCTATTTTAGGAAATATGGACAGCTAGTTCTAAAGAAACAAATCCTTGTGATTATGGGATTGATCCTAAATAAATAAACCTAATAATAAGCAAGATACAACTGTTACATTATAGAATTACTACAAATATAATCCTTCCTAAAATACACAAAACCAATAGTTTGGCTAATTTCCTGCATATTAGAAAGAAAATATGTTCAGCTTGTAGTGTTGTTGTTACATATGTATTAGATAAGATTAACAAGTAGTATGACTAAGAGCAGTTTGTCCTTAAAAGTTTTATAACCAGCTATACCATTTTATACAACAATTTTTGTTTGCAATGATGAAAGGTTATATAACCAAGAAATGCACATCAATCTTGGATCTGAAATATCTGAACATTCAGCACTTCTGTTTCAATCAATTTCTTTTCTTCTCAGCATAAATGGAATGTTTATCACCCCTTATTGCTCTGCATTCAGCATAAATTTTTTGCAGTAATAGTCAGTATGTGTTGTCATACATGTAACCTCTAATCCCCCCTTTTTTTTCAGCATATGATTTCAGAACCTTTCGAACCATCACCCATCATACCTGGAGATACTAGAGCATTTGAAGATGATTTATATCCAACTAACAGCAAGCTTGAAAAAGAAGCAGATGTTGACGCATCAATTTGTTTACCTATGAATGAAAAAGAGAATAGCACAAGGGAGAATAATGTTGCGAAAATTAAAGTCGTGGTATGTTAATTTTATAGACACCTCTATGCATGCACACCTACGGTCTTTATGTGATTTCTTTCTTTTCTTTCTTTAGTTGGCTCTAGAGCAAAAAATAAAAGAATCATGACTTGTACTGCCACCTTTATCATCATTGTTTCCCTAACTAGCAGAAGAGTTTCACCAAAATCATCATCAGTTGGTGTAGAACAGAGAAAGAAAAAACGTCTTTTTTTTGTGAAGATTTACTACATTTTAGTTCATAGCATACTTGACTTTTGAAGTTTGAATATTTTCATTTGTGAATGCAACCTTGTATAGTAATATAAAGCCTTCACTTTAAGAGTGAGATAATCTTCCATTTGTATCCATTTCCTCCTTAAGACATGTTGATGTTGCTTTCCATTGATAAGTACATTTCTCTATGTTTTTCTGAAATTTCTCAAATGAATCTCTTTTGAATTTTTCATTTTTATTTCATTTTATAATTTCCTCTTTCTTTCAAAATCACTGACACTCAAATCAATTACTTTAAAGTATGTCTCTATATAAATTAGAATCTACTCGATTGAGAGTGGCTTAATCACGTAGTATACCCCTCCAATAAAGGATGAGACGCTATTCTCAGCTTTATTTTTAAATTCTTTCAAAATATTTATACATATTATATTTATAATCTGAAACTTTTTTCTCTTTGAAAATGTAATTTACGATTCTACATGAACTAACTACAATTTATACATTCATTATAATTTTAAGCATTTTTATCTCTGATGTTTTTCTTTGAATTCATACTTTTAGATTTATTCTTACCTACTATACTTGAGATTCTTGATGGTTAAAACGCCATTTTAATTCACTTAGCATTCAGGGGAAATTTGTCATTATAGTAAAAAAAAATTCTAATGCATGTTTTAGGTACGTAAAAGGCCTTTAAACAAGAAAGAGCTTGCTAAGAAGGAGGATGATGCTGTAACAGTATCTGACACTGCGTATTTGACAGTCTATGAACCTAAACTAAAGGTTTGTTTTGATATTGGTGCTGATACATGTACACTCTTGTAGAACAGATGGTTAATTCAACTCACAGTAAAAAAAATGTGGTTTGATCTTGACAGGTTGATCTGACAGCTTATGTAGACAAGCATGAGTTTTGTTTTGATGCTGTTCTTGATGAGCATGTTACTAATGATGAAGTAAGGCATCTCTTATCCATATATCAAACTTCACTATTGTTTACTAATATGTTAGTAACTTGTTTCAATTATCTTCATACCATCTACCTGCTCCTCTTTTGTTATACCTAAGACTTTTGAAAGTTATCTTGGTTTTGATTTGTTGGATTGATCTAAGGCATGATTGGTTTATAATAACAGGTATACCGAGCTACAGTTGAACCAATTATTCCTACAATTTTTGAACGAACCAAAGCTACCTGTTTTGCTTATGGTCAGACAGGTGAGAAATTTTATGTGCTCTTATTGTCATACCTGGACCAAATTATCATTACTATCTAGTTTTACATATTTAAATGTTTAGTTCTTTAATATGATATATTTATGCCGTTTTTTTTGGTGTTTGAACTTGGCTAGTTTATTTATACATCTTAACATTTGGTACTGTTCTTGATACTGTGCTTATCTATTTATCAAACGATGAAAGATAGTGACACTTTTGCCTTTTAATTTTTTTTTTTGTGTGGATCATGTTGTTGAGTTGATTCTGGCTGGTATTTGTGATATAAGTCAAGATATTTACCATTTAAAAACATCCATACTATGTAAAATACTCGTGCTGAGTGATTAGGAGGATATTGGACTACGAAGCATGGACACCTCTAGGCGTAGGCGTGTCGCGGTGTCCGACACCCGTATGACACTCATACAACATGTGTCACACAATTGAGATAAGTTTTTCAAAAAGAAATTGTTTTTCTTTTTGCTTCATCACACCTTATACATTTTTTTGGCCAAATCTCATACACAGCTAAAATGGCTAAACATGTTTTGAAACGATGATGTCAATGAAGAATTAAAAATATTAATTTTGATTTGAATATTTTTAATTCTTTTAATGATAGTGGGATAAATGAAACTCAAATATTATCATATACATAGCAGTGTCGGTGTCCTATACTTTTACATTATCGGTGTCGGAGTGTCCGTGTCCGTGTCGGAGTATGTGATTCATAGATATTGGATGCCTTGGTCTAGATAGACAAAATGTTTTGCACTTGATGGTATATATGCACGAAAGTGAAGGTTTAAAATGTATCCTGAAAATCTTGCATTTTTCAGGGTGGGAGAGTTAAGAATAGGAGTGACAAGGAGGGAGAGGGTTAAGTCCTCACCCCCAACAAAATATTGACTATACTAAAGTTTGCTATTTTTTTATTTATTAAAAAAGTCTCTGTAAATGTTGGCACCATATAAGTTTATTCATCCACGTTCCATTGATGTGCTTGATCCTCAGAAAGCCACTTAATCTTTATTTTCAGGAAGTGGCAAAACATACACAATGCAACCTTTACCGCTCCGAGCTGCAGAAGACCTTGTTCGACAGTTGCATCAGCCAGTTTACCGGAGTCAGAAATATAAATTGTGGCTTAGCTACTTTGAGATATATGGTGGAAAGCTGTTTGATCTTCTTAGTGACAGAAGGTGGGTATTTCTTTCATAATATACACACATCATGATCTTTATATGAACACACTGGGTATGCTATTTTAATGTATTAGATGATGTTGCAGTACTATTGTAATGTATGAGATGATGTTGCAGTACTATTTTAATGTATGAGATGATGTTGCAGTACTATTTTAATGTATGAGACAACATTTTTTATTTCTTCATTAAGGATTCAGCTACTGAAATAAATATTTGTTATAATATCAAGCATCACTACTTAATTTTATCCTACATCAAACATTAATTTCTCTGTTTTTTGACTGTACTGGAATGAAATATCTATCTGTCTCAACTCATATACATTTACAAATGTCATCTTGCTTGCTCAATGCTTCAACCTGCATGTTTTATTTGCTCTTTGGTGTGTGCTGTGTTAACTTACTGGTGAATGGTGGTTTAATATGTTATGAATAGAAAACTTTGCATGAGGGAAGATGGACGGCAACAAGTTTGTATTGTAGGATTGCAAGAATTTGAAGTTTTTGACGTTCAAATTGTCAAAGACTTCATTGAAAAGGGAAATGCTTCAAGAAGTACAGGATCTACGGGTGCTAATGAGGAGTCCTCCAGGTCGCATGCTATCTTACAATTGGTTGTAAAGAAGCACAATGAGGTGAAAGAGGGCAAGAGAAACACCGATGGAAATGAGGCAAAAAGTGGGAAGGTTGTGGGGAAGATATCTTTTATTGATCTTGCTGGAAGTGAAAGAGGTGCTGACACTACTGATAATGATCGTCAAACACGGTACTTCTACATTCAAATCATTTGCGTAATATTTTGAGCTCCTTAAAGTGAACTGCATGACGATATTTTAAGCTCCTTAATGTGAACTGCATGACGGTTCTTTTTAGAATGTTTCATTCATGAATATTTTTGAACACTTAATCTTAAATTTACAACACATTTCATATTTTGGTGCATAAGCTGACATTTTTAGCCTTCTACTAGGGAACATAGTATAATGTTGGATCATTAATGAAAATGGAAAGCTCTAAAGAACAGACAAGAGTTCTCTTTTCCTTTTTGTTTAGCCTTTTTTACTCAACATTGCTTGGACTATCTTGAAAATAAGAGCTGCGGTAATAAATATAAAGCATATTAGATTATTAGTTGATGAAGGTAATGAAATGTTAGGATCCAGCCTGGAAAGAACAAAATTAGGAATTATATTGTGAATATATGAGCAAAAAGAAATGGATTGTGGATGGACTTAAAATATACCCCTTTGCAGGAATGGAAAACTAAATGGGTAAATCATAGAGGAGAACCAACACTCAGGCTAGCCCAATATTCCATTCACTATTTTCTTGACTTCCTTTCTTTTACCCACCCTCCCCTTATATTCAGCCTTCTCCCTCTCAATTCCTTATTCTAGAATATTCTCATCCACTCACTTTCTGCCACGTGGCATTTTTTTTCCTTCACTTTCCACCAAATGCACACATGAGTGACATGACTCCCTCTTACTAAATCTTTCTGCTGTGCTAAATCCTTGTGTCTTCGTTCATAGACTTGCAGAGGCTTTTAGTTATAGGTCCAATCTCTTTCTCTTCTGTGTAACGGGGTTATCATGAAACCATCTAATTTGCTTGTGCTGATTTTGTAGTAAATATTTCTTGATGAAAAGCAAACTTAAAAGCTTTTCAATAGTAGCTACTAGTTTTAATGTATGTGTATTTTTGTTATCTGTCTTGGAATTTTGAATTATTGCTTTAATGTTTTTTAAACTCAACTATATTTAATAACTGAATGTTATCTATTTGCACATATTGTTATAATAATAATGTGAGATTACTTTACAAATATAAATCTTGCCTACAAAAATCTTGGTTATTTTTGTTAACTGTCTTGGAATTTTGAATTATTGCTTTAATGTTTTTTAAACTCAACTATATTTAATAACTGAATATTATCTATTTGCACATATAAGTTTTGCCTAAAAAATCTTAGCTATTTGTTGTCGAAATTTCACTATGCTTTAAGTTAACTGCTGAAAACAATACTACAATTACTCCCTCAAGTAAATTTTAATTTGTTCAGATCAAACACTTTTTGTGTTAAAAAAAAACAAAAGTGTTAACAAAAGAAATTCACTGTGCAATTGTTGTATCTCTACCATAGGATAGAAGGAGCCGAAATCAACAAGAGCCTTTTAGCTTTAAAGGAATGCATTCGTGCGCTAGACAATGACCAGATCCATATTCCATTCCGGGGAAGCAAACTTACAGAAGTGCTGCGGGACTCTTTTGTAGGCAACTCAAAAACTGTTATGATCTCTTGTATATCTCCAGGTGCTGGGTCTTGTGAACACACGCTTAACACCCTGAGATATGCTGATCGGTACGTAGTTTAGGTAGTATACGCTTAAATGTTACCTTCATAGCAGCGTGCTTCTGTTCTTTCAATGGTGTTCATGTTTGCATGTACTAAATGTTTCATCTTAATGTAAACAGGGTTAAAAGTCTTTCCAAAAGTGGAAATCCTAGAAAAGACCTGATCTCCAGTTGTGTACCACAACCACAAACTAATAAGGACATTTCATCTACATCAACCCTTCCAGCTAGTGACCGTGCAGAGGATTTTAGTAATCAACGCCTAGAGAAACCATTGGATTTGGGCAGGAAACCATTTGAAATGGAGAGTAGTATGTATAGCTCTGCTGCTATTGCTGACAAACAGATACCTAGTATTTCTTCAAATTACCTATCCAATGGACGAGAAGAAAAAGGCATTACTTCTAGTATTTCTCCAAATTACCTATCAAATGGGCGAGAAGAAAAAGGCATTGCTTCTGCTTCAATGGAGGAGAGGTTTGAAAAAAAGAACTCTTATAATGATTCTTCCAGTCAAAAGACGTACTCTTACTCACAAAATGATTCAGATGAGAAAGTGCAAAAGGTGTCTTCCCCACGTAGAAAAGGTTCTAAAGATGAAAGGTTCGAAAGGCCTACAAACTTGATGAAAAGGGATATCAATGGATCCGATCCCTCGACTACAAGCTCCAAGCAGCAGATCACAGGGAATCACAGTACTGTTACCACTAGATCTAGGCTTTATGAAGCAGAATCCGCTCCTGATGGAAATATCAATGCAGTACTTGAGGTTTGTAAAACATGTATTATTAGTGACCTTTTCTTTACCTGTTTTCCGTTGAATAAAAACTAGTTCAAGTTATCTGTACCTTTGCAGGAGGAAGAAGCACTAATTGCCTCTCATAGGAAAGAAATTGAGGACACAATGGAGATTGTACGTGAAGTAAGTTGTTACTACTTGCTTTTTCTTTAGACTACACATCAATATTAGATTCATAATTGCTTGTCATGTTACCTCACGCCTTGAGTTTTTGTGCCACAGCTTCTTTTAATCTGCTTTTCAAGTTTTAAATTAAGTAATAAAACCTTTGCACTGATGAAAAATTATATTTGCTATTGTTTTGTGCTCACTTATCATGTATTGCTTTTTTTTCGTTTTCAGGAAATGAAACTCTTGGCAGAAGTGGACCAACCAGGAAGCTATATTGACAACTATGTAGCCCAATTGAGTTTTGTGCTTTCTCGCAAAGCAGCTAGTCTTGTGGGTCTCCAAGCTCGCCTTGCAAGATTCCAACATCGACTAAAAGAACAGGAGATTCTAAGTAGAAAAAGAGTCTCCCGTCAGTAAGAGATCCTAGAGATTCAGTTTCACTTATTGAAAGTGTCTCGTGAATTGTGATCTGTATTCACATATTTGATATCTAATGATAATGGATACATTAATTAAAGTTACCTACATGTAAATACTCTTATGTGATATCTCAGGCCTTCGCAAATTTGCCATAAATATTTATGTTTGATCGGGCAAAGTGCTAAATCAAATTAGAACTCAACGAGGTTGCAAAAACAAAATCTATGTTTTTCCTCCTATCAGTCCTCTTCATAGAGCCTATAATATATAGGCTTTCATATTGGGTGCAACTATTCAGATTTCGAAGCCTGGAGTTTAAAAAAAGTCAATTTAGCCTTCTAAAAGGTAAGAATGATAAAATGTTGCATTCTTTCTGTCAATTTAGCAGAAAAGAATATTAGATGTGCAATGCACTTTGATGTAGGACAAAAGCTCTACAAGTTTAAATAAAGCTTCTGTGAAATTCTTCCTTGTGATCTTTCAATTTAAGAGTAGTGCCATTTATTCTATCTAAACTTGTAGAGCGAACATTGAGAAAGGAAATATGACTGGGTTATATTTTGAGACGTACAAGTAAACTTGCACAGGTGCAAAATAATATGGCAGTGCAGATAGAGGTGGAGTTCCACAGTTTTTACGGTAATGGATTACTAGAGACAAGTATAATAATATATTAGAGTAGTAGTAGTTATGCATATAAGTAGCAAAACGGATTTATAATTAAGAAAGAGATTAGTTAGTTAGAACTATCTAAAAGGTGGTTATAAAAATTGTGTTCTCTAACTAAGTTGTAACTAACTCAGTTCAGAAGACCCCTATAAGTAACAACTTAACTATTCATTGTAATAGAATAATCATTTACTGTTAATTCATAATAAATCGGAAAAACATAATTCTCTCCTTTCATTTTTAGAACACCCGGGATGAAGAAATCTTCATCCTCTCTACTTTTTTAATATTGTATAACGAGCCTCTGATCCATAGCTATGACTTCGATTGAAACTGAACAATCTTTGCCATTGAAAGATGGATCAACAACAAAGAATATCTACAAAATCTATGTTGAACACATTAGTATTAAGTTTGATGAGTTCAATTTTTTCTTCGGAAAACAACAAGTTGAAGGAATCATATGAATTCATAAGCTTCATCGTCATCTTGCAAGATACCTCATTGTTGAGGATTGAACCTCTGACACTGAAAATAAAGGACTTAATTCAAAATAAAGTCTTGCTGCCATAAGGGCCTTTTTGTAACTCTAGTGGGCCTGTCCAACACTCTAACATTACTATCTGGCCCACTCAAAATCTTGTCCTCAAAGTTTGGTGTAGAAAAATCTGGATTGAGGAGATGCATCGTCCGACCCACTCAAAACCTTGTCCTCAAAGTTTGGTGTAGAAAAATCTAGATTGAGGAGATGCATCGTCTGACCCAGCTGAAATTAAAGTGAAAGACATAATTTTTGGAAGGCTTTGCGTCACGTAGGGCAGTGGTTTTTGAGTAGAGTGCAAAGACTCAGAAGTCCCATCGTTAGAAACAACAACAGTGGATTGGGGAATTTTGCACTGTCCTGCCATCTTTTTAAAAATTTATTTCTAAAATGTCATATTTTTCAAATTATATACAAAAATGCCATAGTTTCAAAAAAGTTATTTTTTTGGCACAAGGGTGCCGCCCTTTCAATAGGCGGAACTGTCTAATTTTATTGGGGGTCGCCCTTTCAATGGACGGCAGTGTGCAAGCCTGTTTTTTTTTTTTACGTTTTAATTCATTTATATTCATTTTTAATATTAATAATATATATATATCAATATTAATATTAATATATATTAATAATATTAATATATATTAATATTAATATTAATATTATTAATATTACCAATACTAATAATGTTAATATTAATATATCAATTAATATATAATAATATTAATATAATTTAAATATTAATATTAATATAATTTTAAAATTAAATTATATTAATTAATATTATTAATATTAATATAGGTTGATAATAATAACTAATATTATTTAGTAAGAGATAATGAAGCTAATATAATTAATATTATTTAATATATAATTTATATTATTTGATATAATTAATTAATATTATTTAATACATGATAATGATTGAAAACACTAACGATTACTTGTTCCCACATTGGGACACCGGATTCGATTGTGGCCCGTTTGACGACACATGGAACATTTTCTCTCGAGCTTATCAAAGTTATCCATTTCCGTTCTAATATGTGTGCTCACTGGACGACCTTTCTTATTCCTCCGCATTTTTAGGTTATGGCAAATTTGATCTCCTTCATAAACGGGTCAATATTCATCGTACGACAGCATTGGAAAGCTTGTGCTATAAATCCCAAACAGGTTTGTAACCCTATAAACGTCAGACAAAAGAGCGTAAGCGTCGTGGCGCACATTCGAACATGCAACGATAACATGTGAGCAAGGGACATGATATGCTTGAAACTTTCTGCAGTCATACCATCCTGAAATTCTGGCAAGTGTCGCTACTCGAAAAATACGCGCAACAACGGGGAAGGCGAAAAGAAAAAAAAGGACAGAAGAGTCGCCACCGAATTTTATTTATCCCATGAGGGGAAAGGAAAATATCGAGAAAACCTTAAGAAAAGGACGGATAAGATGGTCTCGCAACCATGAACGGGTTCGGAAGCCGGTTATGCGAGGGGAAGGTATTAGCACCCCTCGCATCCATCGTACTCGATGGGAACCATTTGTTTGTCGTGTGTGATTTATTTGCTTAAACATCATGTTATAAAAGAGTGTTCCAAAGGATAGAGGGAAAGGTTAGAAATGGGGAAAGAAGGTAATGCAAGGAAGAAGGGAAAGAATGGACTCGGTAGGACTTCGCGGTCCTAGGCCTACGTATTCTCAACGGACATGAGAAAGTCAGAGTCGACGTAGTTCGGGAAACTACGGGTATGAGGGATTGTGCTCGCCAAGGATTGTGGCCCTTGTGCCTACGTATCTTTACTTGAAGAAGTAAAGAATCAGAGCAGCCGTAGTTCGGCCTACGATTTGTTGATGTTTTTATGGATGATGATATCGCACGCATTCTAGCAGTTAGGTGTATTGTTGCTCGCTCGTTGGAGACTTAGGCATTACCTGTTTGCGGTAGAACGGACGTATCATATCCTTTTCGAAAGATAAGTTTTCGCCATGCGAGGCAAGATGTCACATTTGATTTGTTGAATTATTTTTTTAGGGGCGAGATAGGTCCTCGGATAGTAACCCCTACGGGTAGTACCCAATTCTTTATCTCAAAGTTTTTGTTATGAAAGGGTGTGGCGAACATAGCGTCTTCGTATTGAAAGACGAGTATCAAAACCACACACACTACAGTGAGCATCTCGACACTCGGAGAGGAAGAAGTCTACACTTAATCCTCTCTCTTTAGTTCAATACGAAGAGAACTTCATTATCTTATTAAAGTGTTTTTGGTTTTGAATGGTAAGTGCTTTTGCGACAGAGAACCCTACGGTAAACGTCAGCACTCGGGATAGGAGAAGGCCTACGCCTAACCACTCCACGACCATTCAAGTTTTTGTTACGAAAATAGTTTAAAAATGCGCTCGGTACGGGACCGAGGTTTTTAGGTGACAAAGGTTGCAGAAAGAAGTTGTAGAGGGAGATAGGTGGCGGATAAAGTCACGTCTTCGTATTAAAAGATGAGTATCGAGACCACCCACACTACAGTGAATATCCCAACACTCGGAGAGGAAGAAGTCTACACTCAATCCTCTCTCTTTAGTTCAATACAAAGAGAATCGATTTATTTATTGTAAGTGTTTTGAAAATGCACTCGGTACAGGGCCGAGGTTTTTTAGGAGAAAAAGGTGTGGATGAAAACATCTTCGTATTGAAAGACGAGTGTCAAAACCACCCACACTACAGTGAGCATCTCGACACTCGGAAAGGAAGAAGTCTACACTCAATCCCTTCTTTTTAGTTCAATACAAAGAGAACTTTACCCTTTTATTAAATATGGCGAATTGGCTTAACAATCGTTTGAGAAAATCTGCTTGACGTTGGGTCAAGGATTTAATTGTTTAGAAAGGTTTGAGGTGAAGCGAGCAAGGTCGATGGCGGACGCACAAGGCGGCCGACTTACAAGGGTTAAAAATGGCTCGATAAAATCGAGAGTTTGCTTTTGAAAATGGTTTTTGGAATCAAAAGTCACCAAGGACAATAGCAACATTCCTACTAAAATCATACAACATATGGGATTAGTCGGCTAAAAAAAATCGAGACATGCAATAAAAACGGCGAACTCCTTGAGAAAATTTTTTTGGAGGTAAAAATAACAAAAATAAGTGGAAAACAGTGGGGTAACACGGGTGGACGTGTTGTATGACACGACCCGTGTCATAGGGTACCTGCAATGTGAGTTTTTAGGGTATGACAGAGGTGCAACACAGGTGGCCGTGTTGTGTGACACGGCCCGTGTGGTAATGTCTGGGTGAAAAATGATTTTTTAGGGCAAACAGAGGTGCAACACGGGTGGCCGTGTTGTGTGACACGGCCCGTGTTGTGAAGCCTGGGGTTTTTGGATGTTGAAACCTCAAACAGAAGTGCAACACGGGTGGCCGTGTTGTGTGACACGGCCCGTGTTGGGCGACAAGGGTGGCCGTGTTGTGTGACACGGCCCGTGTCAGGCTACCAGAGTGAAAAACCTAACTTTTCTCTTGTTTTTTGCTTCTTTTTGTGGTTCTTTCAAAAGGTTTCTTGGTCCCTTAGAACCTTACATGATGCATACCATACAACAATACATAAAAGATTAAACAAAATGAATGTAAGAGCAAAAAATAAAGGGAGAAAGGTTGGAGGAAATGGATACCCAAGAGCTTTCTATCCTTCTTGCAAGTCCTCCTTGGTCTTGGTTGAAAGTACTTCACTCCTCTTCACTCTATGTTGTGAAGGTTTTGTTTCTCAATGATCCTCTTGGTTCTATATCACTCTCTTT